GTTGGGCAACCTACTGCTTTTTGAGTGGCGCAACCTTTTGAACTGTGGTCGCCCGAGAACATAAGTAGCCTTTCCATCTTTTCATATATTTTTTTAAAACCAATTTCGAAACATCCAACCGCAGGCAGGCCTCCTGTGCTGGGGAACTTCGACCCCCCAAAATCTTCCATCTTTTTGTATTATCTATTCTTCCTCTTTGTTCTTTCCCAGTCCAGCATAAGCTTTAATCTCGCGATAAAAAACCAGTGCCCAACAGCAAGCCATCTTAAACATTTACAACCATTTACAAGGCAACCAAAATCTGCACTTAAGAAGAACTCCACTCCGGCTTACGTTTCTCGATAAATGCCGCCATTCCCTCCTTCTGATCGTTCTGAAACGCATTGCAAAGATGTAATTTTCATTAGGCGCATGCACAGTTTTTTCTTCTAGGAGTCGAAAAAGGAGAAGCTGAAGGGAAAGGAAGAAAGAAAAAAGAAAAAATTTTGCTTTCATAGTGAAATTTTCAGCAAAATTATGATCAACAAAGTATGAAAATACAACTGAATAAATCATTCCGGCTCCTGCCATTTTCAAAAATAAACAACCTCAATGCGAATGAATGAAATTCATTATTCCTTACGTACGTTCAACAATAATTTTTACAAATTTAGATACTTAAACTTGAGCTAATACCTCAAATGGCATTTGGGTTATCATTACTATCACGTTACAGCTAAGCTAACTGAAGAGCTGACAAATCCCCTGCCAATACCGAAGGGGTAGTTTTCATTAATTACAAAAAGACTGTACCGTTGCGAAAGTGGCGTGGAAGAGCCGACTTTCATAACGGAGACCTTCTTCCAGGAAAGTTTCGTAAGATCGATTTACTGCATCCTTTGCGAGTGCAACAATCAATGGAGAGTGCTCACTGATCCTTTCAGCTGTTTTTATTGCTTCATTTACAACCTGGAGAGAAAAAGCACCAAAATGAACATTTGAATAAATAGCAAATAATCGCCCAAAAATGTTGCTGTGTAGGAAAATAATGAGCTGCCCTTTATCCAAATTCCAGTGCAAGTTGCACAATGCATTACTTTTTTTAGTCGTGTTTTTACTAGATGTAACAAAACTGACAGATAAAGCTGTGTACCGAATGACTTGCTGTTGACAGACTACCACTTCTACCTCGTTTACACAGACAAGAAACTGCTAAATCATTTTAGTAATTTGGAAATGAAGTTGAAAGAGGAAGAAAAAAAAGAGTGTGATTTTCGTGATTTTTTTCTGATGTAATAAGTAATCCACTACAGCACAACTGAAATGAACACAAAATCAACTAAAAAGCGCTAATGTATATAAAAAGAAGGAAGAAAATGAAAAAAAAAAAAAAAAAAAAAAG